AAGGAGCTGCTTTGCAGGTCATGCCTGACGAGGACCCTGAACAAGCTGGAGACCATGATGACCATCCTGCAAGGGGAGACCACGCAGGGCACAGTGACACCGACGGGCATTGCTGACAACATCCTCAACATCACAGGTGGGTTCTGTGCACGCAGTAATGGGTGACACGTGCCTGTGTGCTGCTAAGAGAACAGGCTGCAGAAGCTGAGGATGTTTTTGTACATTGTTGCCTGTCCATTAGAGGTTTGGCTCAGGCCTCTTCAAGCTGTTGGGGAAATTTCACTCAAAATTTGGAGCACGGCACCCTCATACTTCATCCAACCTCAGTTTTCCCAGAGTTGCCCTGGCTTTGGCAGCTCTCTCTGTGGACAGTCAAATCTAACAGTTGTTAATAACCTCACCAGTATTTCAGAGAATTGCTGTTTTAATAAACACGGAATAACAGATCTGGCTTGCAGATGTTTCCCCTCCTGGTCGCAATCTGAGGAGGGTACCAGACTTCACGGGGGCACCCAAGAACACCATGTGAACATGGCAAACTAGTCACTCTCAAAGGAAGAGAAGGCCACCGCTTTCATGTGTTTCTTTGCTGCTTTCATGTGTTTCTGAATGTTCTGCACTTGGTAGTGCAATAACTTAGCAATGTGTTGGAGTTACCCATTCCCTCCCTGTTTCCCAATCTGCTGTCCTAGTTACCTCGCAGGAGGAAAACAAAGCCTGTTGTGATTGTATCCTCACTACCAAACTTCATAGATTGGTCAGGGGGCTGCAGAAGAGTTGACAGCTTTACTTTTAGCTGAGGGCTACTGAACACTTCCAGTGTGGGAAGTCATGTGCACAGTGAGTTACAGAGAGAGCAGTGAAGAGGGACTGGTGTGGTTGCTTGGGAAGGTGTCAAATGTTATCTAGACTGTCCAGTTCACCAGTTTCCCTGTTTGCTCTTCTCTTCTGACAGGTGACCTTATTCACCTTGTCAACACAGTCTCACAAGAATCGAAGCCCCAGGAACTGCTTAGTGATCCCCACAATTTTCTGCTAGCTCCCAAAGCTTACAACTTGTCTTCCAGCCTGATGCGCATCCTCATGAAGTCTCGAGTGCTTAATGAAGAGCCACTTGAGCTGGTGGGAGGAGAAATTAAGGCCACGGGCAAGCGGTCTGATCCCTTCAACTTGCTTTGCTATGAGAACACACCCAACTGCCAGTTCTCCATTCCCCAGGCTTTCAACACCACCCTTTCCAACCTGACGGATGTCATTCAAGTCATGTTTCAGGTGGACTCCAATCCTTTCCCATTTGGTTACATCAGCAACTACACCGTGTCCACAAAGGTCGCGTCCATGGAGTTCCAGACACACAACGGCGTGCAGATCCCCATCGGGAGCCTGGACTCCGAGAAGGCCATTACGGTGATGGTATCGAACAACACGGATGCTGACGATCTCTCTGCTGGCACCGCAGTCATTGAAGCCAGGACGTCTGTGAACCTCATTGTAACTATGGAGAGCAACAACAGAGAGGCAGGGCTGCACTTCCGGCTCACTTACAGAGTCTTGAACGGTAGCGCGGAGCCAACGCCAGCTCCTTATGCCCTTTTTCCCGTGGGAGAGGAGGGGAGGGTGCTGCAGCAAAGGAGGGCTGCCTTGAGAGGTGTCTGATGTGCAGAAGCAGATGTCAGACCCAGGCAGCGAGCTCCACACGGCACAGCTGACGTTCTGGTTGTCACAGGGCTTGTTCAGTCCCCAGGATGATCTTTGCTTGTGAATTCTGGCCCTGCAAAGCCTTTTGCTTTGCGCAGCCCTTCAGTGAGCCACGTTAGCACTGGAAGGAGCTTGTCCTCTCCCTCTCTAGGTCAGGTAGAATGGTGTCCAAGAGCCTGTTGCTCAGGGATGCTCTCAACAGCAGACCAAGAGGGTACAAACTGGTCAGGGATGTGTCCCAGCTTTCTGCATTCCAGATGCTGCTCTCTAAGCATCCTCTGCTGGCAGCAGGAGTGTGATGGAGCTCTCCCTGGCATTTACAAAGCCCTCTCTGTTCTTTCTCCCACTCCCCATGCAGAGCACTACATTGCAAGCGAGCCCGAGCCTTTCATCATGGCCTATCTCCATCACGAACCCGCGCCAAACGAGCACAACTGCAGCGCCTCGAAGAAAATCGGCCTGGAGGCCCTGGCTGGAAGTGACCACAAGCTCTACACCTTCTTCACATCCCCTCTGTGAGTGAAGCCTTCGTGTAATCCCTGCCACCTACGTGGACATCTGTGCAGGATGCTCAGGGCCTTGCCATGGCTTATGGCAAATGGCTCTGCAGAGCAGGTGCTGTTGTAGCTGCCAACTGTGCTCCTGTCTCCTTGGAGGAGACAAATCTCCCGTGCAGGCACCTGCAAGCTGCCGTTTCTGCACCCCAGCACTGGCACCGTTTCTCTCCTGGCGTTCCCTCCTTCCCAGACGTAGCTGTGGCCATGCAGTAGTGCCTTGCAGGCTCAGAGTTGCCCATACTCAACAGGGCCGTGTCCCAGGGATCTCCCACTGGCCTGTTGTAGATGCAGGGATGGCTTCATGCAGCCTGTGACGGCATTTCTTGAAGCATTGCACACATTAGCCCCATTGCCCAAACACAGTGCAACCTTCCCAGAGAACTCGTCTTCCTGGCGTGGAGCATGGAGAGAAGCTGAAAGAAGCCCTCAAGGGCTTCCAGCCGCTGCCCACGCGGTGCCGCAGCGTGCCGGGGCTCGGGAAGCACCGCGGCGCTCCTGGGCTTTGGAGCAGAGCTGTCCTCTTTCCCCAGAGCCGTCATTCCCGTAACTTCCCGGCCTTTCCCGGGAGCGTGTGTGTTCGTGGCTCGTGTTATTTCCAAGCAACTCCTTGGCGTTATCTGAGAGGAATGATAGGCAGCTTGGGAATAGGTGGGGCAAGACTGGAGCCACTGTTGTGTAAATTGACACAGCTTCCATGGCTTTTTGGGAACAGGATGCTCCGAGAGGGATTAATCGCCTTAATGAGCAAAGCCTCTCAGCCAGAAGTCATCGAGTTGCTCTGGAAGTGTCGTGTGGCCGTGGGACGGGGTGGCGGGTGGCAGAGGAGGAGGACGGTGCGCGGCGCAGGGCTCGGGCTCTGCTCCCAGCCTGGGCCTTCCGAGTGCTGAAATAATGCAAATATTAAAGAATAATTAAAGAGGTTTGTAGATTGCAACCATTTCTGCACAGCCCAAAGGCTCTGTAAATGACACCCCATTCTCTGGGCTTTTCCTCCCCACCGTGTGTCTGTCCACACAGACCTGTACTTTCCAGGAGCACACTTCAGGTGGGATGGGGTTTGTGTCCCTTCAGCAGGCAGGCTGATAACGTCCCCTCGCCTCCTCTCCCTCCTGTAGCACGGATGACACCACCCAGAAGTATTACTTCAACATCACGAACCATTTCAGCTGGTCGCCAGTGGAGGTGACCCTGGGCTTGTACACCTCCCTGTGCCAGTACTTCAGCGAGCAGGAGAAGCGGTGGAAGACAGAAGGCATCATCCCGCTGGAAGAGACCAGGCCAGACCAGGCCGTGTGCCTAACCCAGCACCTCACCGCCTTTGGGGCCAGCCTGTTTGTCCCCCCGAACTCCGTCCAGTTCATCTTCCCTGTGAGTAAAGAGCCAGCCCTCACGAAAGGACTGTGTTTGATTATGATTGATTATTATGAAGCCTGGCTGCTGGGGCTAAGACCCAAGCGCTGCAGGAGCTTTGTTGTGGACTCTGAACACCTTGCAGTGCTCGGCTCTTCCCTGAGATGCCAAACGCCCTTCCCAGCTGTCACCCAGAGCTCTTTTATTCCAGGCAGTTTGCACCTGCCAGCTGCTCCCTGGCTCCCAGGGACGTTCAAGTTCTTTCTAGCTCTGGCAGTGACGTAAATGGAGAAGCAGAGAGCTGTCTGCATCTGCAAACTCGAGTTGGCTGCTGCGGCTCACAGCAAGGGACCACGCGGGCTGTGTGGGGACAGGTCTCCCTCTGCACGAGGATGATGTGTCTGTGTGCTGAGCACAGCCAGCAAAGGGGTGACACAGCCCCCGGGCAATGACAGGGCTCCTCCTGGAGAAGGAGGTGCCTCTTGACGTGTTTCTTTTCTTTTAGGCTCCAGGCCCAGGTCTCAACTACATCGTTCTGCTGACGTGTGCTGTCTGCTTCGTGACCTACTCGGTGGCTGCATTGATTGTGCACAAGCTGGACATGATTGACATTAACCGAGTGGGGGTGATTCCCTTCTGCGGGAAGAACGGGCTGTACAAATACGAGATCCTGGTGAAAACTGGCTGGGGCAGAGGATCAGGTTAGTCCGTAGACTGCTCCCATGTTTGATTGCCTAGAATGACATCAGTAGAGTCCCCATGAGACCTCCCACAGCTCATCATGCACCAGACATTCCCCACAGGGCCTGATGTGTCTGGAAGAGCCCTGAGCCAGACAGTCAGTTCGGGGCTTCTCCAGCTTTCAAACCACCAGTCTGCGAGGTGGTAAAGTAACTTTCGTGATGATGGGGCAGGCCAAGAGCCCTGGAAAGGAACTGCCTTGGGCCTGTGGTTGCAGGAGCAGCCAAGAGACAGGAGCTGTTCCCAGGTCTGATCCTCTCTTGCAGAAGCATCCAGGCCTTGTGGGCCCTCTGCATGAATCATTTTGCTGTCCCCCAGCATCCACCACTTTTTACTTCCATCTGAATCTTTTCTGGGCACCATGGAAGCCGAAAGTTGGGCTTTCCAATCTGAGGCTAGGAATGTAGCCAGAGATGCTAAAACAACATTTCTGGGCTTGGAAATCTGAGCAACTGGGATGTGGGAGCTCTGAGCGAGGATGGAGGTGAAGGGCTGCCCCGCCACCATCAGGGACGTGCTCCCACTGATCTCGGTGCAACCACTGTCTGCACTGGGAGCAGCTTTGACCTGAAACCATCCCCAGGACCATCCAGGTGGCCCAGGTAGACTGAGGAGCATTTGGCAACCAGTACCAGAGAGAAGTCAAAGAAAACAAGTCTTTCAACTACTTGATGGAAAGAACATCCAGAACAAACATCTCCTCCCATTAGAGTGTAGCAAGGCAAGGAGCATTAGCTTCAGTCCCCTCCAAAGAGGAAACCCATGGGTATGCCAAGGTGCATGCACAGCCTGAGCAGCTGCCTTCCAGGCTGTGTCTGACGCTATCCCTAGACTGGCTGGTAAATCCATTCCTTCCTCCCAGGTGGCCTCTCCAAAGGACCATTGTGTCTGGTACCTGGGTGGGAAGGCAGGGCTGCTGGGTAACGTTCTCCTTGGATGGATGCCCCTAACTGAACCCGCTTGACCCTGCCAGGTACCACAGCCCACGTGGGGATTGCCTTGTACGGGGTGGACAGTAAGAGCGGTCACAGACACCTGGACGGAGAAAACGCCTTCCACCGCAACAGCCTCGACGTGTTTCAGATCGCAACGGAGCGGAGTCTGGGGAGCATCTGGCGCATCCGCATCTGGCACGACAATAAAGGTGAGGCACGAGCAGGTGTGGGGCAGGCGTCCCTTGTCCCAGCTCGCAACCCAGCTCTGCTCCGGAGCAATGCTGCTTAACACCATGGCCTAAAGCTGGCAGGGCACCTTGGTGAGCCGCTGGCTTGGTGGAAGATTGCAGGGGGGGACAGGGAATCTCCATCCCAGGGGAACCTGAAGAGCAGATCTTCTGTAAGCCCTTATACATGCAGTCCAACGTCCTCTGCACCGTGACAGTGTCAGTAAATGTCTGTACAGTCGGTGGAAGATTGCAGGGGGAGGACAGGGAGTCTCCATCCCAGGGGAACCTGACCTGAAGACCAGGTCAGCTGTAAGCCCTTATACGTGCAGTCCAACGTCCTCTGCACCATGACAGTGTCAGTAAATGTCTGTACAGTGCAAGTGCCAAGCCCTTCTCTTGGGTAGCTGATTTTTCATCACTAGTCTTCCAGAGAGTTGTCCCCTTTTAGGATTCTCCTTGTGTTGGTCTTTGGCTTTGTGGCCTTGAGGAGGGAATGTCTGCGATGAAACATGTTGCCTTGTTCCTTGGCTTGCAGGACTGAGCCCCTCTTGGTACCTGCAACACGTCATCGTGCGGGACCTGCAGAGCAGCAAGAGCTACTTCTTCCTGGTGAACGACTGGCTCTCGGTGGAGAGCGAGGAGAACGACGGCCTGGTGGAGAAGGAGGTTTATGCTGCCAGTGAGTGCCAGCTGCAGGGGGTGGGTCTGGGGTGCAACATGGCAGCCCTCATCAGAACGGGGTGGGCACCGTGTGCGACCCTGCAGGGACACCGTGAACCCTCCGCACTGACACTGCCTTGACACCTAGTGCAGCCGAACGCTCTCCTGGGTCTCCTGAGTGCAATACGGGCAGAGATCCAGAGGGCAGGAGGCACTCATGGACATCCCCTTGGGTATCAGCCCGGGAGGAGAGGCCATGCCAGGCCCAGCGAGGTGCCCTCTGCCCCGTGCCGCTGCCCCTCAGCGTCTCTTTCTGTGCTCAGGTGAGACGGAGCTGAGGAGCTTCTCGCGGATCTTCGTGGCGGAGCTGCAGCGGGGTTTCTTTGAGAAGCACGTGTGGCTCTCCATGTGGGACCGCCCGCCACGCAGCCGCTTCACCCGCGTCCAGAGAGCCACCTGCTGCTCCCTGCTCATCTTCCTCTTCCTCTGCGCCAACGCCGTGTGGTACGGCGTGGTGGGGAACGTCCACCTCAGGTGCGCTCTGGGCCTTCTGCTCTGGTAGCCCCAACCTACTTGGGGCCCTCCTGTGCTTCATGACACGGGGCAGGGTGGACTTCACGCCTGCTTAGAATAGATGCCCTGCCTGGGACCTTGAGGCTGCCCTCCCTGTTCCAAAGATTCTTGGATCAGGATGTGGATCAAGGAGGACCACGGACAGCCTGATGGGCTTCCCCCGTGCCTGGTTTCTCTGTGTCATCTGTTAGCACAACTTATGCCCCCTTCTTGCTTTTTAGCCTGCCCTGGGGGAGTATTTTAGCTCTTGTCTGTGTGTGGTGGTGACAGCCACCTCAGGGGCCGCCCTGGTAAAAGTATTTTCAGGTCCTCCCACCCAGATTTGTCCTGAGGTTCGGGCTTGGTGTGTCTTGTCTGCTTGGCCGGCAGCCCGGAGTGCTTCTGCTCACACTGGTCTCTCTTCTCTCTTGATTCTCTCCAGCAACGGGGCTGTTTCCAACCTGATCCCTGTTAATGTAGACACGGTGGCTGTTGGTTTGGTGTCCAGCGTGGTGGTCTATCCTCTCTACCTGGTCATTTTATTTCTCTTCCGGATGGCTCGTGGCAAGGTAATCGGGAGAGATAGTTGCAGGCTGCCCAAGCAGGGTGATGCAGGGTTGGATTTGGCCTTTTTGTAGCCCCCAGGGCTTCCCCTTCCTCAGTGCTGCTCTGCACGGCCTTGCAGCATGGTCAGAGCCTTGTGCTTAGTAAGACTCGGCCTCCTGGTTTTGCTGGGAGCAGCCCCTCACCTTAGAGGGACATGTGCTGTGTAGTACTGGATTATGGCAGTGCCCAGGCAGACCCAAAAGGGCAGATTTTAAAAGCCGTTTAGCCACTTATTACCTCTTGATTTCAGTATGCAGTAGGTACCCAAATGCCATTTAAACGTGTCGCCTCTGCTGTGTTAGCAGGAGCTCGAGAGATGCTCCTTGGAGCATTTCTAATGAAATATCTGCCCTGGGTACAGACCCAGCTGAGCAGAGCTCTGGTTATGCAACTGTGAAAGGATCCGCTGAGGATTTAATGACTAGTTAGACACACTTGGCAACCCCAGTAAGTGCCACAGCCAGCTGCTCAGTCACTGATGAGCCACAAATGTGCCCGGTACTGGTTGTTCCTCTAAGCACTCGCTGCTTTGCAGGAGGTTACGGGCTTAGGCAGCTTCCTGGGAGCTTGTGCCTGGAACATCCTGGGCTGTGGTCATGCGAGACAGAGCCCAAGGTGTGTGGGGGACAGTGGGGAGCCGCGTGTGCCTTGGCTCAGCCCTGCTGTGCAGGCCGGGATCCCTTGGTCCTGCATCTAGAAACGTGTCGCTCCGCAGCAGAGCAGGGAGCCGAGCAGCAGGCTCCGAGCACGGCGACGCCGTCACCTCCGCTCGTCCCTTCCTTGCTCAGGCCTTTCTGTCTCCTGCAGGTGTCCATCAACCACACCGTGACTCACTCGGACCAGCAGTCCTTGGAGATCGACAACTACCTGGACTCCTCGATCCTGGAGAGCTCCTTCCTCACCTTCCCAGGGCTCCGGGCAGAGGTAACCCCCTTCACACCTGGAAGCTGAACAGGCTGCGTGGGCTGTGCGTCCCGCAGCCCTCCTGTCCCCTGCACAGTGTCCCTCTGAGGCTGTTGGTGTAAGAACTGATGCACACTCACAAGTGCTGGTGACTGGGAGAGCCCCAGTCCTTGGTCTGTCATCACATCTCCCTCCAGGCCATCCCCAGGTTCTGAGCACAAGCTGCTACCTGGGAGCATGGATCTTCCCAGTGTGCCTGGGCACCATCTCCTGGAGGACAGGAGGCACCTGGAAGCACAGACCCAGGCTCTGGGTTTCCAGTAACCGCCTGCTGCTTTAGCTGGGCATCGGCCAGTGTCATAGACCTGAAATATTTCCCACTTCCTCCGCAGGCCTTCTCTGAGCAAACCAAAACAGATCTGTTCCTGGAGGACTCCAAAAGGTAAGGAGGCTTTGGAGATCAGAGCAGGAATTCAGTGTTTTCTCTGCTTTTGGCCTCCCGCACATAATTTGTCTTTTCCAGCGCTGCAGGCCAGCAAATGTGAAATGCTGTTTCCCAGCTTGTTGTTTTGGGTGGGAGACTGCTGGGCCATCAAAGGCCGGTTACCCGCAAGCGCCGCTTGCCTGTGTTTTGTTATCGCAGATAACTGCGTTGCAGGGGCTGGGGAGGCCTGGCTGGCACCAGCCTGCTCCCCATAGAGGCTGTGTCCCAGCAGTGACCCAGAGCCCTGTGCAGGTCACAGCAGAGTGACGTTGTGCCCCGTCGCGGCTCCCTCCGCGGCAGGAGCGCGTGCCCACGTGTTGCTTCCCCTGGCCCCCGCGCGCCTGGCCGAGCTCAGCTCCTCTCTGCCCGCAGCCTCGTGCGCTGGCCCTCCAGCGAGGCCCTGCTCAGCTGGCCAGACCTCCTCAGCGACCCCTCCATCATGGGCAACACGATCCAGAAGCTGAAGAGAGGCCGGGCCAGCCGCCACCTGGGCCTGGAGGCCCCGCTGGCGCCGGAGGAGGACAGCTTGTCGCTGGGGGTTCACCAGGGGCAGCCGCGGTACTTCTCGGCCTCAGGTGGGTCAATGAGCAGCGTTGCTCCTGCTGCACCGGAGCAGCCTGGTCCCTGGGAGCCCTGGCTCCGCTCTGAGGAAGGCAGAAGGGCAGAGGCTATTGCCATCGCTTCTGGCTCCTATTTGAGGGGAGGAGAGTCAGATTTTCTTAGTGGAAAATTCAGTTTGGGAAGCAGAAATCCTGATGGATGTGGATTAGTTTGAAGTGAGTGGTCGCTGCACTGCCAGCAAACTAGGAGCAGAGAGAGATGTGTTCCCAGGGGTCTGAATGTTGCAAGCAACGAGCACTTCACTGGCTGCAAGGCCATGGTGTCTCTGGACCTGTGTGAATGGCTGGAGAAGAGCAGCTTGGCCTCCTGTGCCAGCAGTTTCATGCCAGACTCGACTGCCAAGTGGGAGCAGACAGGAGCCAGAAGACGGGGAGGGTGGATGGTCATCCCAGGGAGAAGGACCCCGCAGTGACACCCCAGGCTGCTCCTGTCCCTGGCTCCACAGGCAGCAGCTGATGTTGGGCAGAGCTGGGTGCAGTGTCGCGGCTGCGCTCCCGTCGCTGATGTGCTCCCCTCTTTCCCCAGATGAGGATCTCATACGGCAGATCCTGGCAGATGGAGCTAGTGGCATCTCCCACCCCCAGGACATGGGGCCGTACATGAGGGCCGAAACGGATCTGATCTCAGGCCTGTAAGTACCAGGCAGCAGAGTCCCCTGAACAAGGCAGGTGGAGGCAGGGGCTGCTGTTCCTTGTCATCCATCCAGCTGTGCCACAGAGCTGGGAGCTGGGCTGGACTCTGGTGCTGCAAATGCCCAGGACAGCCTGGCCACACAGGCCCTGTGTTCCTGCTGGCACCAATTCCTGCACCCCCACAGCCAGGAGAGCGCTCCCTGTGTCCCCAGGACCCACCTGGAGTGTCCCCTGGCTGAACACGGGTCCCTGGGCCTTTGTGCTGCCATCAAAATACCGGCGTGTCGGTTGAGTTCACAGTGCAGACAGAAGGGACGAGGGGATTTGAGCCTCTGCTCTGTCACTGTGCCCAGAGCCACCCCGGTGCGGGACACGCCCCTGCGGAGCAGCCGGCTCGGGGAGGGGAAGGGAAGGGCTTCCCGCTTCCCAGGGGACGCCCCATGGAGCATCCCGCCACCGGCCCCCTGCCTTAGGAGATGAGGGGGATTCTGGGTGGCCCCGGGGCTCCCGCGGTAGCGCTGGGCTTGGCGCTGCCGTGGCCGAGCCCTGGCACCGCTCCTGGCAGCACCGCTCTGCCCTGGCAGGTCCAGCGTGTTCGGGGAGAAGGTGGAGACCGTCATGATGCAGAAGCTGAACGAGAAAGGCCAGAACGTGGCAGCCCCTCCCAGGGAAGTGAGCAGATCGGCCAAGTCAACCTGGACAGGTACCGGAGCGGCGTGGGGACCTGGCACAGGGAGGCTGAGGAGGTGCAGAAGAGGGGCCTTCACCAGCAGCAGTTGGGAAGAAGATAAATAGAGGAGACTTAGGAGAGGCTGCTCTCTTCCTTGGGATTTGTTTGCTATTCCTTGCCAGTTTGGGGCAGCTTCTCTGTGATTCCCAAGTCCCAGTAAATCCTAGGCCACCACTTGTTTTGTGGTAGCTGCTGCTGTACCCACTAGGGAAGGTTCATCCAGCCTTCCTAAGGAGGATGAGCGAGACTCTGTGTAACCAGAGGGAGGAGGAGTCCAATGCCAAGGAAAGCTCAAAGCAGCGAGCAAGGAGAAGAGCTGCTTCCCTGCCGGGGAAGCTCCGGGTGCTGCCGAGTGCTCCGTATCAGCCTGGGCTTTGCCTTCCCGGGCGCAGCTGCTGCAGGGCAGCTGCAGCGCAGAGAATTGGACACAGCAGCGATCCTCCTGGGGCTGCTCAAACCCATCCGTTCCTCTTGCTTGGCGAGTGTCTCAGTATCCGTATGCCAGGCTTTATTCGCAGGGGTGAATGGAAGAAGCTGAGTGTGAGCAAGCCCCAGGCCAGCGGGGCTTGGCAGTCTCGAAGGGCATCTCCAGGCCCCACAGTCTGTGCGGCTTCTAGTGGGTTTTGAGGGTAGCACCTCTAGTTAGTCCAGTCCTGGACATGCTCTGAGGCTCTGATGGAAAGTAGGGAACAGATCGCAGACTCCAGATCCCATCTTCTTCTCCTGCCGACTTTGTGCCGTCTGCGTAGGGGAAGCTGCTGCTCTGGGGCTGGCTGTTTCAGCTGTCCATACTGCTCCCCTGGTGCATGATGGCCAACGCTGTGCTGGGGGGAGCCACTGCCCAGCCCCTCCTGTGCCCATTTGGACCCTTTTGCAGTCACATTTACTCTTGTTTTCCTTCCCATCCCCAGTTGCAGACCAGACGTTCAGGAAGCGTTTGCTGCCACCCTGGTGCTCCTCTCTGGCTCACGGCATCTGCCTCCTCATCTTCGCCACCTCCACGGGGGTCTCTGTGTGGATCGGCGTGGGCTTTTCTTCCAGCGTTGCCCTCATGTGGCTCATCTCAGGGATATTCAGCTTTTTGGCCTCCTTCTTGGTCTGGGAGCCCCTGAAGGTAAGGAGAGAGCGAGGAAGGGCTCGAGCACGTTACCTGCATGCGTGTACACATGCACATGCCTGTGGTTTCCTGCGACCACCAGCATCCCTCCACTCTGGATTAACAAGACCTTTGTTAATCATTTGTATCATCACTAATCAGCTTTTCTAAATACTAATGAACTCCTGGTGGGCTCTGAGTGGACTGAATCCTCTCCCCATCTCCCTGTCCTTGCGGTGATGGCATGGGCACAGCAGGAGAGCAGTGCTGGTGTCCTTGTCCTCGCTGGTGTCCTAGCGGTGGCCGAGCTGCTCCGCGGCACTGCCCACATTCCAGGCACACGGGAGCTACTGCCGTGGGAGCTGGGAAGGGGCTGGCGGATCCCCCTGCGTGCGTGTGACCCTCCTTGTGTCCCCAGGTTCTCCTGGAAGCCCTCTATTTCTCACTGGTTGCCAAGCGCCTGCACCCCGAGGAAGACGACACCTTGGTGGAGCACCCGTTTGTTGAGCACGTTTCTGAGAAGATCAGCAAGGTCCGACCCCCGCAGGGGTTTGCCCTTTTCCAGGCCAAGGAGGAGGCCAGGAAGGTCAAACTGCTGCACAAGATGCTGAAGGTGAGGTGTCCCGTGACGCCCGCGGCGAGGAGCCCACGTACATCTTTGTACGGGCCCCCCGGTCCATCCGTGATCCCCTCTGCTGTTTAACGGGCACTTGTCTCCAATCTCCACCTCAGTGCCCCCAGCTGTAGAAGCAGATAGTGACACTCATCTTCTCTGTGAAGCTCTCGTCTATCTGAGGTGTTTGGAAAGCAAAGCCACAGCTGGATGGCTGTTCCTCCTCAGTTTGGAGCAGGGACCACGTTTGTAGCGTGCAGGAGTTCAGGGGGCTGAGGCCAGAGAAGGGCTCGCAGCGTGGAGCATAGGCCAGCTTTGGGCCAGCGCATGAGCTGAGTCTCATGAAACACAACTCCCTGCTTGGGAGCAGGAATTTCAGTCTTTTCACAGATAAATCAATGCTAATCTTCTGCACTGGCGCTGGGAATACACACCTACTTTAAAGGAGTTATTTTTAACCGTGTGATCTCCCTTCAAAGGATGGAAACTCTCAGAGCTGCTGTGCAAGCCAAGCTGCCAGCACATAGGAGCTAGTGCAGGGAGGTTGTGCAGTGCATATTGCCTGAAACGTGGTACTGGGCTGGCTGGCTTGAAAAAAGAGAATATTGTTAGGAGCCCGTGGTCTGGCTTTCATTTTAAACAGCTTCCCATATGGGAGGAAACAATCAAACAAACAAAAACAGTGTGCTTTGAGGCCCGATCCTGCTGCACAGCACTGGTGGGAAGCGTTGGTTTGTGTCAGGGGCAGGATTGGGACCCAATGCGACGCTGTGCCTGGGTGTGATGTCCCTTTGTGCTCTCTGCTTGCCAGAACTTCCTCATCTACATGCTGTTCTTGCTGGTGATCCTGCTCACCAACTACGGAGATGCCTCCCGCAACAGCAGGACCTTCCTTCTGCAGAGCTCCATCAAGCAGCAGCTGGGCAGCAACGAGTTCCTCCGCATCAAGAGGTAACGGGGAGGGACCCGGGCTGGCGAGGGACAAGGTGTTGCCTTAGGGATGGGGGACACGTCTCGTCATCCATGAACTGGGCACAGTGAGCAGGGCGTCCGGCTGCTCTGCAGCTCTGGGATGGCTGCTGGGATGAAGCTCTGAGTCACCCACAGGAGAGAGGCCCTGAGCACTGGGGAGAGCAGCCAGCCCTGGAGCTGCAGCACTTGAAACGGGACCTGCGTGGAGCAAGCAGGGCCCTTCCTCTCCCTGCTGCTCAGCCTCTGCCCTGGAAAACAGAAGGGCTTGCAGGGACTGAGAGCTTTAATTCCTTGGCGTTTTAAGACCTTCTCGGTGGGAAAGGACTTTGTGATTTACAGATGTTTATCTTTCTGTGTCTGGGCAAAAGGACGCAAGTTTGTTCTATTTGCAAAAAAAGGTCTAAGATTTAGATGTAAATAAGCTCATGAGAACCAAAAATAACATCTGATACAAATACAAAGCCCTTCTCTTCCTTTCTCTGCACTTACCATTAACTAGATTAAAACTTCCCAATTCAGTTTCCCCATTGCTGTAGGCTCCAGCTGTTCGGCATGACATTGGGAAGGCTGCTGGGAACCGACTCTGCCTCTGCACCCATCATACTGCAGACCTCTTGATGGGGCTGTGCAGATGAGATTTGGTTTGCCCGTGCTCTACATTCACAGAAATTTTGATTCGCAACAGCATGAACTGGGAATGATTCTCCCGAACTCCTGAAACTACTAGGATGACAGTGGCTTAGCGGAAGAGCAGAATCCAGTCCTAAACGTCCTCCTGTCCATGGAGCGCATTCATTTGGTTCTTGCATGTCTAACAACCGTTTTCCTGACACCCCTGCCCCAGCACAGAGGTAGAGCAGGGATGGAGCTGCCTTTCCGTTGATGGACCTGCGGCGCTGGGCTCGTCCCGAGACCCGTCCCGGGAGCCGCCCAGCAGCTTTGCCTCCCGCCTTTCCCGCTGCAGGTCGGATCAGTTCTGGGTGTGGATGTCGCAGGTTTTCCTCCCTTTTCTCTACAACAACCGGTCGGGGCAGGAGAGCTCCAGCACCACGCTGGGGGCAGCCCGGCTGCGCCAGCTCCGGCTGCGGGAAGGTACGTGGGGACGGCCCGGCTCTGCCCTCCTGTGACAGGAGATGGCCCTTTCTGCAGGAGGAGGTGGCCAGGGCTGGATGCAGCCACATGTCCTAGTGAAGCACAGCCATGGAAGCTCCTTTTTGTCCCACTGGCATAAATATTACCGTATCTCTGGCTCTGCTGGCTGCAGAGATGAACCAGGGCAGCCGGCCAAGGGGAGC